GGTCTATCATACATTTATAAGGCTATAATCTATAAAAAGTTATGATTTCTTTGTGTGTGTGTGTGTGTGTGTGTGCGAGCGCGTGCGTGCATGCGTGCGTGTGTGTGTGTGTGTGTGTGTGTGGTTGTTGTTTTGCCACTGTACCTTTAAGAAACACACTTCTCACGTGAATGCGAACTGTCAATGCGTTTGTCTGTTTGACTAATCAGTCAAGGCTAGCTTCATTCAGCTTCACCCATTCAGATATTTTATTATGTTCATGATTTACCCTTTTTGCTGCCCTTGACGAGTGATTGTCATACGACTGTTCCTGGATTACCCATGCGCAAAGATGGGCCGGTTGCATAAACTGCTTAGACTTGTCTTAAAAAGTTAGTCATCTAATTTGTTTTCTTCAAGACTGGTCATAACTTTTTTTTTAATCAGCTACAAAGGTAGACTGGCCCAATTTGAATCAGAAAAGAAACAATGATTAACTAACTGCTATAGTTGGTCAAACTAGTTCTTAAGACACAACATAGTGACTTTGTTTACGCAACTGGCCCCAGGCTGCGCAGGGTCCTGTACCAGCCGAGGAACTGTCATTAAGCACATATGAAGCCTGTTTCCATGCACCACCAAGTAAAAAAGAAAAAGAAAAAAGATCATTTTGATTTTTATCTACAATTCTGACTTTTTTTCTCAGAATTGTGTGATATAAACTCACAATTGCAAGTCATAAAATCAGTATTGCATTCAATGCAATTCCCTAAATATCACATTATGAAAAACAAGAAGGAATCAGGTAGGAACAGGACCATTTTAATATCAGTACTTGTCACACATTGCAAACAATTAATATAAAATATGATTTTTTTTAAATGTGCTTAACCACAATTTTTTAACATGTTTGTTTTAGCAAATTTAAATAATAAAAAAATTAACTCTTGTAACTTAACATTTTACATTTTTATTCAACATCTTTTTTTCTTTTTTTTTCTTTTTACATGTTCAAAACATCCTAAATCAACAATTTGAAATCGCTGTGAAAGTAAATTAATCTTTACTTTCCTTATACAGGCTCGTCTTTTGTTCTTTAGTCTCACTGAACAAATTCAAGAAATCACTGTTGACATGACGTGCACACAGCAAGCTTGTGCTTTCTGCAGATGAACACACATGGTGCTGGCTTTGGTGTCATGTTTGGTAGGGCACATCTTACATCTTTTCCACTTTTCCCCTTTACCTGCACTCATTATTCGCTCACAGGGGAGTGAGAAACAGACACAACAAAACATACATTAAAAGAAATGTTCCCCTTCAGGAACTTGAGCTGTGTCGAACGCTTTGGGATCGCCCCCGGCGAGACCCCGTACTGAAGCGTGTGTGAAATCAGTCCAATAGAGAAGCGAGACATCACAAGCGGAGTGACGTGAGCAACCAGGAAGCATAAAGGCGCATCCGGCAAATACACATGTTAGCTTCTGCTCTTCAGCGAGCGTGTCTGTGTATGTGTGTCTGTGTATGCAAAAAGCACTCAGTCAGTCAGGAATTACTCTGTATAGAAAGCGAGTTCAAAATGCCTAAGTGTAAAACAAAATCTGTGACGAGCGGACGGCGTTTCAAGTTGTGTGTTCCTCCCTGCCCACGCTATCTCTCGGGGTGGGGATACACACGATTTGTGCGTCGTCTGTTTAGGAGCGGAGCATGCATGGGCAGCTCTCGAGGGGGCTGCCTGCCATGACTGTGAGCTTCTCCCGCTCTGTGTGCTCCGCTCCCGCCTGGCCAGTGCTGTAGCCAAACTGAACATCGAATGGCCAGCCGAGAAACAGGACGCTCATCCCAAGAGCAAGCTGGACGAGCGCTTCCTTAAAGCTAGATCACAGCCTTCACGACGGGGCCTTCCATTTTTCCCCAATCTCCATTCTGAAGTCACGAGATCGTGGGATAAACCATATTCGTTCCTGACTCTTCAGCCCCACAGTATCCAATTACTCTAACATTGGACAACGTCCTCAGCATCGTCCCTGAAGGCCCCGAAGCTTCCCACCAGGCCAGTAAAACTGACATCCAGCTTGGTTGGGAAAGCTTGTGTGGCGGCAGGTCAGGCCGGTGCGTGTCTGCACACTATGGCGGTGTTGCAGGCGTACCAGGCCGACCTGCTAAAAGACCTGTACGATAGGGAGGAAGAGGAATCCGACGTAGTCGCTGAACTACGTCGGGCCACAGACCTGTCGCTTCGAGCCACCAAGGAAATGGCCAGAGCCATCGGCCATTCCATGGCAGCACTGGTGGCTACGGAGCGACACCTGTGGTTGAATCTTTCTGAACTACAAGACAAGGACAGATTCTTCCTCCTGGATGCCCCGCTATCGCCTTCTGGCCTGGAGAGGTTTCAGGAGGCGAAGAAGCAAGCGGCGGCATTCTAGCGTTTCCTCCCTCGCCGCCCCTAGGTCTTTGGGACTGCTGAGCGGGAGCAGTCCCAGCCGTCTAGCTCCTCATACCACCAGACCCAGAAGCAGAGCGTCGCGACCCGTACCCCCCACAGAAAGATCAGGAGGCGGGGTCCTCTAAACAGAAAACGGATCTGCGGACCGTTATTATGTCCAAAAGGACCTCGGCCAAGCAGTCCACCGTCAGGACCCTGAGGGCAGCCGACCCTGGGGAGGAGAGGTACACACCTCAGTATACGGTGCTCGATCCTCCTCAGTGCCCTCAGGGAGCTTCACTGATACCTCGCCCCCGGGAAAGCTCGATGAGGGCGCTAGAGCAGTCAGGTCGGTCGTTCCCTGCCGGCCAACTGCTTCAGGGCACCGAAGTGGCTCTTCTAGTGACACCAGAGGTGTTTTTTGACAGCGTAGAAGCTTCTGCCAAATGTCTCACAATGGGTCCTGCACAGTGTAGACAGAGGTTAGATCCCCCGTCACCGATGAGGGTCAGAGCGCACTCGACCCGGAGTATGGTGGCCTCCAAGGCCTTATCAGTGGGCGTGGCCCTCCAGGATATTTGTGCTGTTGTGGGCTGGTCCTCTCCGCACACATTTGTCCGGTTTTACAGTCTGGACCTGACACCAACCCCGGGGTCCCAAGTTCTCTCGTCTTGATGTGCTCGCCAGACACACATCAGACAGGGACTTGCTCGTATGGCACAGTGAGTATTCTCGTTTCCAAATCGTTCGACGCAGCTCGAGTTCCCTTCGGGGAACCATGGTTACATACGTAACCTCGAGACGTTATTTTGTATCTGTGCATCTGCCTTTGAACAAATGCAGGTTGCCATTCTAACCTATTTAAGAGATTTTTTTTGGTTACAAGGCAACTGTACAGATCCAAAATCAATATATTTCTTGGGTATATGTGGTTATGTTGTTTTTTTACCACCCTGAGAAGGTGAAAATAGAGCTGTTCCTCACTATTTTCAGTACTGAAAAAAGACAGACACAGATGGTACAAATGAGCTATTCATTTTTATTTTCAGTGTATCTGAAAAAACTTTGTCAAACACAAACTGTAAAATAAGGTCTCATTTCTACCTTCTCTCAAGTTATATGAAATACTATTTAACCTAGCTTTATAATCAAATGTGGGTCAAACTGACATCAAAATCGTAATAAAATTATGTGTGTACATTTCAAAACACATCAGTGTATCCTCACTTTGCATGCATGTTCATGGCCCTAAATGAGAAAAAGTCACAAAATGTCTAAAATCACAGGTTAACTAGTATTTCCGATATAGCTCAAAAATCGAAATGGGTCAAATTGACCCGGAACATAATACAAGGGTTAAATTAATATTTCCACACATGCTAGCATAACAACATTTACAGTATTTACTAGTTACCATATCAACACTATATAGAGAAAAAAGTGCGCAAATTCAAAAATCTTTTGAAGATTTCGCTGAACATTTATTTTACCATAGTACAATTATATTTCTGGCTTAAGTAAAATGTTCATCTCAGTTTTTATTAATCATTTAAAATGAGACAAATCTGCTATTATTTTAATCTCCGATCTGTTAATTTGTTTTTTTAATGATTCGATAACTAGCAAAAGACACTAAACAGTTTTAATGCAGATGGATGCAACTTGTAACACTGCGTTACAATGTGCCCCGTTATTATTAAACTATGCTATAGCTAAGCGATGTAATTTACATAATTACTTTAATGCATTTTTATGAGAAACTTCGAGAAACAGGTGAATAAAGACTGACAGTCGATGCTTCATGTTCAGAAATTATTATTTCAAATTTTTTTAAAAGCATTTTGGCTCGTTTATGTGGCCCGTCCCAAGCATGGTTGCAATGTGTTCATTGTCAAACTCCAAAATCAGATTATTTTTAATTCTTAAAAAACGCCATTATTTTATTCAATATATATGTATTATTTTATATTGACAAAATATTTTAGTTTGTCTTGTAATGCTATTTTTTTTTTCATTAGATCAGATAACATTTTAAGCTGTCATATGGTCATGTTACAAGTTGCAACGTGCCCCTCAGATGTTACAATGTAGCTACATTCACAACAGTGTATAGGACATCAACCTCTTTAATCTCAAAGAATAGGAAAGATACGATTTCTCATGATATGACTCATTTAAAGTTTCTGAATCTATTCCCTCATGCATTTATTTGAACCAAATCTAATTTTAAGCATATTCATATAAATAACTATGTTGACCCCTGCCATATTTCCGCATCCTTATCGAGACCACACAGCAAAAACAACTGAATATAGCCTTCCACGTGGTTTAGATGAATGCGTCTTGCGCGCGGAGCGGGATATATCAAGCAGCGCGTGAAGCGCAAGGATCTCACTGACATCTTTCATCTCTGACTGAAAATACCAAAGGAATTCGACCGCTGCCCCCGAAATCTCGCATTCATGACTCGAATCTTATTTTTTTGTAAAGTTTAAGTGCGTCGTTCGCCTCTTAGCAAATGTTTTAGTTTATTTTCTACAGAAATAACGATCGTTTGTTATCTGAGGAGAACTGCCGGTGTCCTGACGCACGCGCGAGCTTATCAGGAGGCGTCGAATGCGAGCGTCGTTTATTCTTAGTTGGATTTCGCTCTTGAGCGCACAGTTTTGCGGTAATATTATATTATGGTGATCCGTGGAAGCATGTGAAGCTGTCATATTCCAGGAATGGATCTCCAAAAGGTGCCCAAAAACTACAGGTAAATAATTAAAATGAAACACATCAGTGCAGTGTTTAAAATTGTTGCAGCATACTAATTCACATGGCGTGCAGTTGTGAGCATATTATTTAAGATTTAACTTTTTTATTTGAAAATAAAAAGCATACGCTATAATTATGCAAATTGTTAATAGCCGTTTTAGGTAAAACAATCTAGTCAGGTGGCTGTGTAACTAATTTTGTGTCCTGTTTTCTATAATAATCCATTATTTGATCATTTATGTCGAGTAGCTACTGACTGAAAAGTGCAGGATATATTCAGTATACAAAGAGAAAGACAGAGTGGGATGTTTAATTATCTTTTTAATTGCTTGATTAAATACATTTAAGCTGGACTGATCAATTGAGAGTCTTTTTAAGCGTTTGATTTGATCCCAGCTGGGTTTCTGTAGAGCTGTGCTTTCTCAGTTTAAGATGCTGTGTGGGATGGAGACAGACACGATTTGGATGGATCTCTGCAATCTAATATGAACAAGAACAGCACTGCAGTACTTCACTTTTATATTAATTCATTCATATAAAGACAAGAGCGTTGGATGAGCTGTAGGCCTACAGCAAAATTAGGTCCGCATCGTTTGTTAGATGATCTCTGCGAGATCAAATAGTTGTGCTGTTTGCTCAATAAAGCTCAATTAAACCAATATTTTGCTAGGGCAAAAGTCAATGAGCTGTAGAAACCAGACAGATAAGGTAAAGTCCTTGTTCATTCATAGTTGCAGATCAGACCTGTAAGCAGAATTGACAATCCAGCAGCGCATGACCTTAAAATTGCAGGGCAAGTAAAACGCATGACTTTGGATTCATAATCAGTTTTGATAAAAGGGCTGTTTACGTTTAATCACTTCATGCATTCCATTTTCACTTGGCCATATAAATGTCAAATTGCTTTTATTTGTATGTGCTTATCTTAGTCTGCTGTTGTCTCGCAATATGCAAACATATCAGAAAAATTCACATTTTCTGTTGCATGCTCCATATAGCAATCATTGGTTGAGATTCGTGATTGCTCCATCCATGTGTCTCATCCATGATTGCTGTGGGATGTGGGATTCCCAAAATTTTTTGAGTGCTGACGTAAACCCATTTGGGGCAGGTTAACAACCATTTACACTTGCATTTGTCTCAAATGCATGAACAGTCCAAGTGAAAACACTCATATAAATTCTAAGAGTATACATTGCATAACGTTTAAAATGTCAATTTGTAAAATTTTTGTCATATTAACATTGAGTCTGAAATCAGTTCAAAGTGGAAGTCAGGGCTACAGTCTACCATTAATACACCCAAAACAAGTCTACAATTATTATGTATAAACATCTTTGATTAGGTTTTACTTCAACCAAGACAAAAAAGGCAGATGTAGATGTGACATTTTCAAAATGACAAGCTTGGTTGTTAACTCATATTTCCTTGTTTTTATCAATGCACACAGGTTTCGCATTAAACTGCAGACTCTATCTTCATAAGCCTTTTCCCGGTGAATAAACACTATAGAACACTGCCAAAATGGACACGAAATGGACGTTTATGCCCAATTCCAACATGTCCCTCCCTGACCGCCTGCTCAATGATAGTTTCTTCCCCGGGAACGAGTCTGACTTTGGCCTGGAGATTTACCCTCACAATAGCACCCACCCTGGCTTCGACCAAACCAGCTCGGCAGTCATCACGTTTGTGTACTTCGTCGTCTGCGCGGTGGGGCTCTGTGGGAACGCCCTGGTCATTTACGTCATCCTGCGCTACGCCAAGATGAAGACCGTCACGAACATCTACATTCTGAACCTGGCCGTGGCGGATGTCCTGTGCATGTTGAGCTTGCCTTTCATCGCCATTCAGCTCTCGCTGCTCCACTGGCCCTTTGGATCGGCGATATGCCGCGTCGTCCTAACCGTGGACTCCATGAACCAGTTCACCAGCATCTTCTTTCTGACGGTCATGAGCTTCGATCGATACTTGGCCGTGGTGCATCCGATCAAATCCACCAAATGGCGAAAGCCGCGCATGGCCAAAACCATCAGCCTGGCCATGTGGGGCGTTTCTCTGCTGGTTAACCTGCCAATTATGATCTACAGCGGTGTGAACACTAAAAGGAACGAGGCCCGGACTTGTACCATGTTGTGGCCGGAGCCACAGAACACCTACTACACCGCTTTCATCTTCTACACCTTCTTCTTGGGGTTTTTCTTACCACTGATAGTCATCTCCTTGTGCTACCTGCTGATAGTCATAAAGGTGAAATCCTCCGGCATGCGAGTCGGCTCCACCAAACGAAAGCGCTCTGAGCGGAAAGTCACCCGTATGGTGTCTATCGTAGTAGCTGTGTTCATCTTATGCTGGTTACCTTTCTACGTATTCAACGTGACCTCTGTGACCGGAACCGTTCCCACCACAACTGTGCTGAAGAGCACCTTTGACTTCGTGGTGGTGCTGGGTTACGCCAACAGCTGCGCCAACCCCATCCTCTACGCCTTCTTGTCGGACAACTTCAAGAAGAGCTTCCAAAACGTCCTGTGTCTTAAAAGAGTCGGCGGCTTGGATGAGATCGAGCGCAGCGACAGTCGACAGGACAGGACTCGAATGGTCAACGACGTCATGACGGAAACGCATAATGCCGCGCTGCTCAACGGAGACCTTCAAACCAGCATCTGAGGAGATAAAAGTCTGCTGAGATTAGATGTTACATGAAAGTGGTCCACTGAGAGTCTCAGATTACATGCGCTGGGAGAGATGTAGTATTTAAGAACAACAATAAATCTGACTGATCTGATGTATTTAAGCGATGAGCAAACAAATGTCATTTACTGTAAATAACTCTAGTTGCTTTGTTCGGTGTTACTGTCTGAAGAAATTCTAAAGCTGTTGTGTTATTATGAGTGTATGTTCAGTGCCAAAATTGTCTTTAAAGTTCAAAGCCAAATCATGGCCTTCATTGGATAAACATGATTTCATTCTGTTTGTGGAAACAGCTTGTTAGAGGCTTCTTATTATTCAAGGCTTTTTGTGGCGATGAATACAAGATGAGTGAGTGATGCTCGACAAGGCCACATCGCTGAATAGAAAAGGTCTCCGAAATCTAAACAAAGATGTACATTTCTGTGGCATATTTATTTGTTGTTATACTTAGAATATCTCGTTTACATTTAAAAATCTTCCCTCGTAATATTTCGCCTCTGGTTCCCAGTAGAGTTTTATTTTGGTAGCGGAAATGTACATAACGTTCAGTGGAGGGGGGGGGAGATGGGCTCTGTTACAAAACGTAGTATGCTTCCTATCTAAACAACATTTTCAGGCAGCTCCAAAAAGTGTAGGCAGCAGCATTTAAGATACCTCCTTCTTAGCCAAATTTCTATTTATAGAGTATCCTTTACGAAAAAGGCAATCCTAAAATGCAAGGTGAAAAAAATTCAAATGAAAACAGACTACTTTATCCATATTTTGTGTGTTATGTGTTTTTATGCTTATTAGAGGATTGTTGTTACCAGTGTATATACAGTATGTAATGCTATCTCACAACCAATTCGAACGAATGGCTAATTCGCACGAATTCACACGACCTCACTCGTACGATTTGTCTAGACCCTAGGTTTAGGAGCGGGGTTAGGGCTAGGTCATTCGTACGAATTCATATGAATTGGGGAACTCATAAAATATGTAGTATGGATTAGCCACCTCATAAAATATGTACGAATTATCTTGAGATCAGATTGGAATTCTATAGGAATAAGGAGTTAAATGCACACTAGGTTTTGAATCAGAGCTGTAGTCTAATCTTTAGTTTAGTTTAGAGCTTAATCGTTATCTGACCTGGAGAAAGTTTCATTGTATTGTGATGTAATTGTGCAAATGGAAGTATGAAGTAACCATATGGCCATTGGCTATACTAAATTAACATTCATCAGCTGGCAAATGAGATGCAAAGAAATCCTCGTTCCTGCTTTAATGCAAACAACCTTGCTCACTCGCCTCAGTCATAGCAATGAGGGTCAAGGGGCAGTGAGACGGACGAGGATGACAGAGGGCATGCAGTTCACTCGTCGTTATTCTGAGAAAAGTATTCAAACAAGTGCATAATTGTGCAGTCGTTCTGGTCAAAAATATACCTCATTATAAAACATAAGATCCATCATTGTGATGAATGCATCCCGTCACACATGGACTGTTCTGTAGTGACGACGAATAGCATCAGCAGACGCGCTTTACATTTGCATTGCACTTTTAAAACAATTATTTATTCTAGCAAGGCTGATAAAAGGAAGCTGTAAGTGCCTTAAAGAATCACTCAAAAAGACACAGAATGAGAGACGCAGAAACCGTGTGCATTCATTCACAGAGCTTTAACAATAAACCCTCCACCTGAATGTAAAATCAATTCATTTACTATTATATGCTTGTAAATAAAACGCTAATTGAAAGCCGCTGTCGCTCACAGAGCTGTATAATGTGTATATATTGAGCTGGCATTAACAGAATGTATTCAGCTCATGCCCGTTTGAGGGGTTTAGATAATTGTAACATTTGCGAAGGGCTAAAACCGAACTTGTTTACTTTAGTCTGTCTGATTTCTAAGGGCCAGAATCAGATCTGTTATGCTGCAAGTGTTGAAAAGTGAATGAGTTCACGTTTAGAAGTGTAAACAGTTTTTTCTAGCATGGAAACAAACATATTTTGAAACCTGGGGAAGTATTGATGACAGTAAAGTGGTTATCGCAGTATTCGTCAAGTACTTTGAGTTCAGTTCAATGTGCCTTTGACCGTCAGACAGAATAGGTTGTGTGTTAGTGTGTCATGCTCTAGTGTTGTATCTTATGTCGGGTTGTTATAGAGTCCCTTGTCTGATGGTGTGGGTACAATATAGCATTTCCTTTATATTAATAAAAAATTTCAAAGATGTCCATCATTCATCATACAAAATGTCTGTTTTATTAAAAGAATAGTTCACCCAAAAATAAATATTCTGCTGTTGTCTCTCACATCAAAATTCAGCCACATATTTGTTTAGGAGCTGTTTTGGCTTGTAATTCAGATTCAGAACACTTTTTCACTCAAGGAAGCATCATCTAAATCTCGGATGACTTGAGGGTGAGCACATTTTCATTTTGTGTGGATGAAGCATTCACACACACACACACACACACACACTCACTCACTCACTCACACTCACACACACACTCACACACAAGTCTTGAAGAATGACTCATTCTTCTTCTTCAATAGTTGCTTGAATGAAGGCTGTGTATTGTGTGCTGCTTCTCTCTTATAGCGCGTGTGAGTGTCATCATAAGGATGTAGCATAGCTCAATGTCAGGCTGTGCTGAGATGTGCCTGTCATTCCTCTTGTTGCTAAGCTGCCACAGCTCAATTTTTGCCCAGTTATTTATCGTAAAGATCCAATTTATTACAACCCACCTAAGCAGAATAATCCTCAGGTCTAATTAAATAATTCCTCAAACACTCTTATTGTCAGGCCATTTGTGGAGAAAGCGCGATTGCGATTTAATTAAATTGTACAAAGTTGCAAACCCACTTTTACTGCTTCTTTCTTTAAGGTCTCATTGTTAACATGAGTTAATGCATTATCTAACATAGCCCAGTGATTTATTTATTAATATGGGTTAATGCATTAATAGAAACAGTTATTTGTGTTTGTGTTAGTTCACAGTGCAGTTAACTAATGCTAACACAACTTTTAATTTAAAAGCATATTAGTAAGTTGAACATTAAGTGGTACGCATTTAACATAAGAATTGCTTTAAAACTTCAACCAACATACTAAATATTACAAATGACCAAACTGTAATATTATTTCATTTGTGAGGTGCAACTAAGTGATAATTAATATTATGAAGTTAATATATGTATGCATTTGTGATTAAAAGTGTCTGGTAATGACTTTCACTGGGAAATGATAACTTAAAATAATCCCCGGTGTAGTCATATTACTGAGAAATCTGAGAGTCAGATTTACCCTTCAGCACAACTGACTAACTCTAATGACACATAAGAAAATCTTGACATATTAAGATGCATGACAAAGCAAGCGCCCCTCCACTTTTTTTTTTTTTTTTGCAATCAAATTGTTGCAAAATGTCTCCCTCTGTTGTCCAGTTTGGGTTTTGTTTTCTATTTAAAAAGTGAAGGACTGTGGACTTGTGTTCAGGCTTTGGCTTGTATATGGATTATGCATCATGTTCATGACCTGTAATTATTGACAATTGTTGAGAAACGTGATCAAGTATCCGCCAACCTTTTTCCAGTGTTGTTATTGACAAAAAAAATAAAATGCATTACATTCATTTACCAAACAAATAAAGGCTAATGTGTGAACAATTCTCAGTTTGATTTGTGTGTGCAGTAATGATGAAATGAAGCTCAGTACACTTACAACCCATATGAATAATGCAAATTGTGTTCAGTTTACGCTAATATTAATATATTTGATCAAATTGTGAAATATTATTATAAATTCTAGTAGCTGTTTTCTATGTGAAACTATTGTAAAAATATAATGTGTTGCTGTGATGCGCAGCTGTATTTTCAGCATCATTACTCCAGTCTTCAGTGTCACATGATCTTCAGAAATCATTCTAATATGCTGATTTGCTGCTCAAGAAACATTTCTGATTATCATCAATGTTGAAAACAGCTATATGTTTGTGGAAACCGTGACTAAATGTATTTTTCAGGATTCACAGATCAATAGAAAGTTCAAAAGAACCGCATTTATTTAAAATAGAAGTCATTTGTTACATTATAAATGTCTTTACTGTCACCTTTGATCAATTTCATGCACCCTTGATGAATAAAAAATTATTATTATTTTTTTTTAATTACTGATCCAACGGTAGCATATATAGGTTATATATAGGCTACATAAATATACATATTTTTAAGATCAGTTTAAGTTCATTGCAAAATATAATCAACAATAAATACGTTTAACATCAAATAAAATCCCACTGTGCCTCCTAACGAAATCATAACTCTTCCAGCGCGTGCGTTTCTCTTTGACTGACACACAATGAAACCAAGGCATTAATTAATGCAGTGTTTACTCAAAACGAGGCTTTTGCTGTCATTTGGAGTCGACAGGTGTGGATACGGCCTGAGCTCTTCCTGCAGTGAGACACCATCTGTCTCTGAGGTTCAGCTTCACTGCTCCGACTGCACCGTCATGCTCAGACCTCCCTGCTGCCAGCAGAATAGCTCTTCTGCAGGTTTCTGTAGGTTGTCTACGAAACACACTTGTCTACTTGAGGTCTATTTAAAAGAAGTGCAGGTGCAAGGATGTGCTCAAATGAGTGTGTGATCAGTTTCGCCTTCAATGCAGCAGCGTGTTGATTTAGCAAGCATCAGGGAGTTCAACTTTTGTTTCAAAACTTGAGCGATGTGTCCCCCGAGGATAATGCCTCTTCATTTTAAACCTGAATCATCTTTATATGAATAATTGCTCTCCCTCTGAGCTCGTCTAGTCATTTAGTTCACGTTATAGCATGAGAGCGTTCAGCTGGAAGATCATTTGTTTTAATGCGTCTTTAAAATTCTGTTTTATGTGCGCCTACAAGAAACTGCTTGATGCATCGCAATTACCTGAAACAAGAACTTGAACTAGCTTCTGTTTGGTATTTGTCAGTTTCCAGTCCAAACTTAGTCAAAAAGCCCCTGCAATGATGCTCTGAAACAAACAATATTTGTTAAAAATATTACTTATTAAATAATATGGTATTAAAATATTGTAAAATGTAAAATAAAAGTATAAAATTATTTAAAAATAACATGGAATTTAAATATCATTCAATGTATTTTTTTTAAAATTAGTATTCAAAATAATATGACAATAAAATATTATTCAGCAATCTCTCTATATCTCACACTCTCACACACACACTCACACTCACACTCACACACACACAATATATATATATAACATTTATTTTTCAGTTCCAAAGCATTTTGGGTTTCCATGTTCTCAGATTTATTTGTATAATAAACTGGGATATTAAATAATTAAAGATGTTCAGAAATGTGATCTGTGTGTAATACAAGCAGTTGCAGCAGTGGGGTCTCCTGAGGCTCAGTGTGGTTTTATTCAAATCATCTGCTGGTACAAATAGTCCCACACTCACAGAAAGCTAAACTTCAGACCCCTCATGTCTCCGTTCTCACTCGAGGTAAGTGCAGCACGTGCATGTGCTTCAGATTTACAGCCTATCTACAGATTCACAACACTTATGAAGCTGAGTTTCATGCAAAACTTCATTAATGCAATAATAAGATCAGCTGACCATCAATTACAATCCAAAAGTTTTACATGGCATTTTCCTTTATAAAAGCAAATGCTATGAGTTATGTTATTGTTTATAAACAATATTCAATTTTTTTTTAAATTACAGTAGATGAAGGTTCAGTGCTTTTTTACAACCCTTCTGAATATATTACAAATATCTTTGTGCCAGCTGTGTTCAGTTCATTGATTGCAGTATGATGTTGTATTATTATGATAATATATATATATATGTATGTGTCACGACTCTGTGATACCCACACGCTGCTCTCAATACTGCGGTAAGTTACCCCGCCGTCTTCAGCTCACGCGTGTCCAGAGCAGGGTCTGATGAAGGACTGTGATGTTGTGTGGCAGTGGCCTGGAGATGTAAAGCCGTGTCCGGTCAGTTCTACGACACGCTGCTGAAGAAGTGTCTGAAGTGCTCCGAGCTGTGCGGCAGTCATCCAGAGGCCTGCGCAGACGCATGCAGGAGTGAGTCGATGAGGCACAGCACCCTAAACACAGCTCAGAACAAACACACTTCACATTTGAGCTTTTCAATACACAGAATTACATTAGAAGTGCTGTGCTTCCAAGTACTACTGAAGCTGGTTTTCTTTCGAAGAATTGTGAGTTTATAATATCTCTTAATTGCAAGTTGTAGGGTTAAACTTGTCGTAATTCTTCTGACTTTTATTTTTCTTCAAAATGCTGAGGTTACATCTCACACTTGCGACTTTTTTCCAGAATTCTGAGCAATTCTGACTTTTTTTTTTTTCAGAATTCAGAATTCAAATTTCACAAGACTTTTTTTCAGAATTCTAAATTTACATTTCACAATTCTGATTTTTTTTTTTTCAGAATTCAGTTTACATCTCAATTTTGACTTTTTTCAGAATCCTGAGTTTACATCTTGCAATTAAGACTTTTTTTTTTTTAATTCTGCATTTACATTTTATTATTTTGATCATTTTCTTTGGCATTCGAAGGGGTAAAAGTCATAATTACAAGAAGAAAGGCTGAATTGTGAGATATACAGGCCTACTTAGAATTGTGACAAAGTCATAATGGTGAGATAAAAAGTCACAAATACTGTTTTTTTTTAGCAGTACATGGTGGTAACAAGCTTCAATAAAATACGACCAGCTGTCTATGCGGTCTAATAGTTAGAAATGAACCATGGTTTTATTATAGTAATAGCATAGTACCCATGGTTTTTGGCGTAGGCTATTTTGCTATTTTTGTCACTCACTCACTCTCACACACACTCACTCTCACTCACTCACTCTCACTCTCACACACTCTCACTCTCACACACACTCACTCACACTCACACACTCACACTCACTCTCACACACTCACTCACACACACTCTCACTCACTCTCTCTCTCTCACACACACACGCACACCTATGTATAAACAAATAAATAAAAAAATAAATAAAACTACATACTGGAATTAGCTATGAAGGTACAATATGAAATTATTAACTATAAAGGTAACATTTAACATTTCCTTGCTTCCCTCTCCTGTAAAATAAAGGCAAAAAGCCAGTAAATAAAACTTCTATCTAAAATCTAAAGCTTCAAGTCACTCGCGAGCAGTTTTGCACTTTTCCTGGTTTCCACGGTAACTGCGACTTCTCTGATTGCTGGAACTCACTGATCTATAACAGATATATAGATATCGATGTATATTATATAGCATTTCAGCCATTCAGCTACTAAACATGACTGTGGTTTAGAAACATATTTCATCATTTAACAACACTGCAGTTCAAAGCATCTTGAAAAACAACTGTTCAATGAAGAAAAATAAGATTAATCTTCTAGAACTTTCTGTTTTGCAGTTTAAGACAAGACACTACAGGTGAATAATAATATATATATATGACCATACTCACATATACTACCATACTATAGGCCTATATATATATATATATATAGGTGATGTCAAATGACTTTTTTTTTTTTTTTTTTAAAGAAGTTTCTTATGCTCATCAAGGCTGCATTTATTTGATTAGAAATACAGAAAAGACAGTAATAAAATCTTTTGTAACATTATACAATACTGCTCAGAAGTTTGGGGTCAGTACTTTTTTTTTTTTTAAAGAAATTAATACTTTTATTCAGCAAGTATGTCTTAAATTAATAAAAAGTGATCAAAGTAAAGACTTACACTGTTATAAAAGATATGATTTTAGGAATGAAATGTTGTATAAGAGCAGGTGAATGTTATATGAACAAACCCCTCAGTAAAAACCTTTATGAGAATAATGTAAGTGCTGCTGAAGCCTTTCAAGACATGGACTGATACTGAAATCTACAGACGCAAATATATAAACCACAATAAAATAAACACTAAAATGTGTATTTTGGATATTTTTTCCTCACTTTTCTGCAAGAGGACATGCTATGGAAGCAAAACAGCCCCAAATCTGGATTAAAAGCAACGGTTTTGCCTGAAGCGTCTCGCCTTAAAAGAGTTTCATCTGATTTGTTTTCATCAGAAATAAAGATGGCCTAAAACACGAGCATAAGAGATGCTGAATGCAGAGAATGTTCAAAACCAGAACGAAGGATTCAGAGAATCACGAAAAGACAAATTAAGAGAGAGAAAAAAACAGAGAGACTTCAGAGAAACGAACGCTGAACTTCATCCAATGATTTCTGAAGATCATGTGACACTGAAGACTGGAGTAATGATGCTGAAAATACAGCTGCGCATCACAGAAATAAATTGCGTTTTAAAGTGTATTAAAATAGAAAACCAGTATTTTGTTGTAAAAATATTACTGTATTTTTTTCTGCATTTTTGATCAAATAAATGCAGCCTTGAGCAGAAGAGACTTCTGTAAAAAATCATACCAATACCAAACTTTTGAATGCCAGTGTGAACGCTGAACTTCATCCGGCTGAGAACCAATCACACGACACAGTGCTTTTTCTTCACCGTTTTTTTTCTCCATTGATTTCTTTTACATACATACATACTATACATAGATACATAATTAACATTTATAAAATCCTCCCCAAAGTCTTTTAGCATCCAGTTTGAACAGCATGCCAAGTTTGAGTACTGATTCAGTACACACACACACACACACTAACACCACCAACACACAGGTGCACACATACCTGCATGCGCACACACACACACACACACACACACACACACGTGGCTGAGGATAACACTGCTGAATCAAGCCGTGGTGGCGACAGGCATCACACAAAAGGAAAACGTCTTCATTCACAATGCATCTGAAACACGACCGAACCGGCAACCCAGACCAAGTCCAACCAAAGACTAAACACACAAACACCTTCTTTCCATTCGCTCCGAAACGCACGAAGAGATGAGGGTATAGGACACGGAAACAGAAAGCAATGACTTATAAAAATAGATTTATATATAGATTTGCGTGTGCGAGTGACATTTCCAGCCCAAAGAAAAAGACGAGGAGAAACGAGGGCGTCGAACAAAAAACACAAAACGAATCAAAAGTGCTGGACGAGGACAGGATTTCCAAACTCAAGCGACGCTCGACGATATAGGTTTACGCTCAAGTCAATAACACCATTCTGTTGCATTCAGTACATCGAGAATGCGTACGAAGAAATAAAAAAGGAATATTTTCCCTCATATACTTCTCGGAAACCCATCGGAGGAGGATGAGAAAGCGATTGGTTCTGGGAGAAACGCAGCTGAGTGAGATGATGTCAGTCTGTGTCTGTAGTGAGGCTCCTCCTCTTTCTGTCAAGTATGCTCCGGTTGCTCAGTGCAGATTGGTTTAGCCGTGTCTTTTGTTTTTTTTAGTTCTATGTTGTTGTTTTGATTTTCTTGAGTGAGAAGGCTGCAAGAGAGAGTGTGTGTGTGTGTGGTAACGCTCTTCTCATATGATCCTCCCTTCACAGCTTTGACTCGGCCGCTCCTGCATCGCCATTATTCATATTCAAGGAACTGCTTATGGTAAAATAACAAGTACCTGCAAAACAGGAGAACACAATTGTTAGAAACAGTAAAAAATATATATATTTTACAAAGGAGAGGTATTTTAGTATCTTTGACATACTTTTATAACGAATAATTATTACCTTTATATTTTTAGTTTTTATTTTAATTTTAGCTACTATATGGTTATATATAGTCGTTATAGATTTTACAAATTTTTATCGTAAAAGTATTTTTACAAATTTGAGCCTGGAGCACAAAACCAGTCATAAGTGTCATTTTTTTTTAAATGAGCAATTATACATCATCTGATTCCATTGATGTATGGTTTGTCAGGATAGGACAATATTTGGCTGAGATAAAAACAATCTAAATATTGAGAAAATCATCTTTAAAGTTGTTCAAATGAAGTTCTTAGCAATGCATATTACTAATCAAAAATTAAGTTTTGATATATTTACGGTAGGAAATTTACAAAATATCTTCATGGAACATGATCTTTACTTAATATCCTAATGATTTTTGGCATAAAAGAAAAATCAATAATTTTGACCCATACAATGCATGTTTGGTTATTGCTACAAATATACCCCAGCGACTTAACACTGCTTTTGTGCTCACAAATAAAGTTATTTTAAAATGTTTTATTTCAAGTAATGATTTTTTTGTAACTTAATAAAAATGAAATTTAATAAAAATAAAAAAAAACATATTATTTTAAATTTCTGCTTTAGTTATTTTGGTGCATCAGGTCAAACTAAATGAAAATGTTACCCTGGCAAACAGCTTAAACCTTAAAACAGCTTAAAAGTTTTTTTTTTAAATTATTATTATTAGCTTTTATTTTTTTAAGTGGCTTTAGTTTTAGTTCAGTATAATAACCCTGTTACAGAGCATTTACTCTCATTTCTAGAAACAAAAGGCTTTTATATGACAAAACCAGCTTTTCCTTTTATGCTAAGAAGGAAGCCCAAAGGCCACAAAATTTATTGAAACACTTAAGTCAGTAAATTATATTTAACTTTTTATTATATGTATATATATTACACCCTATAATGTAAATTATGAATGCCCCTGTATTAAATACAAAATAATAAACCAAGCAAGCAAGAATTATTATATAGCAAGCACAAGCTCACTTTAAATAACAAGATTTTACAGTAAATAAAAATAGTTAATTCTAGTGCAGTAGGTATATACACATCAAAACTAATCACGGTGCAATTTTGTAGAGTAATAGTACACAGTACTATAGAATTTTAATATTTCTACACATTTCTTATTTAAAATAATAATAATAATAATGCTATTATTATTATTAAATGAGAAATGGATAGAAATATTATTAGTTACTAATGTGTGTAAAACAACAATAGTAAAATATTAATACAGTAGTACTAGCAGTAATAATGATTTTAATAATAATAATAATAATAATAATGTTAAAAGACATTTGTGAAAAGTGAATCCTGGCAACAAAATTTTTCGATTGTTTTTCTATATGCATCACATAATATTAATTTGTATTTATTTTATCATTTTTAATTGTTATTATATAAAACAGCAACAACAACAATTGTGTTGTTGTTGTTATTATTATCATCATGAGTACTATTATAAGAATTATTATTATATTTATTAAGAAATAAAAATATTATTTGCTAATGTGTGTAAAACAAAAAAGTACTGCACTATTGTATAAACACAGTAGTACTACTATGCTGTAAATAATAATAACAAAATAAGTATTTATAAATCATTTATTGCAAATGTCCCTGGTTTGATATTTAGTTTGTACTGCAGTGACTCGGATGTCCAAACACTGGTGTGTGTGTGTGTGTGTGTGTGTGTGTGTGTGTGTGTGTGTG